ATACATAATCACAAGTAAACACGTGCAATGCAATACATAATCACAAGTAAACACGTGCAATGCAATACATAATTACAAGTAAACACGTGCAATGCAATACATAATCACAAGTAAACACGTGCAATGCAATACATAATCCCAAGTATACACGTGCAATGCAATACATAATCACAAGTAAACACGTGCAATGCAATACATAATCACAAGTAAACACGTGCAATGCAATACATAATTACAAGTAAATACGTACAATGAAATACATAATTACAAGTAACCACGTGCAATGCAATACATAATTACAAGTAAACAGTGTCTTTAAAAGCATTGATTCTCTCGTGGCTACTCGCGATATAATGCGGTACAAATACATTGTAAATGTAGTACTTTGCATTGTATGTTGCTTCACAGTATTCCGTCTGACTGTATTTTACTAAACACATGGCAACATGTGATGATCATGTTGTTTACTTTTGAGATTGAATCATTTCAACATAATACACAATGCATTAAGATACGTAAAGTTGTGATATACATCGTAAACGAAAATGGAGCGTGCCCAAAACGAGGCCGAAATTAACCTTTGACCTAGTTGTCAATTCAATGTATCGTCGATGAGTAAAACGCTCATTGGATCAAAAATCAAGCCAAATTTTCTTCGACATCTTTTCCAAATTGAATAAAGAAGCCAAATCAAATCAAGGTAATGAAATTTCTGCTGTTCTTTTGGTTAAAACGCTAATTTAATTTCACTCGGCTGTAATCGGGTTAGGCAAATGTTCGTGATCCGAGTCAGAGACTTGGATACCCGACTCACACCTCAACACAGTCATACACGAATGATGCGTATTTGTTATTTTATCATTTCTCTTCGAGTAGTTCACTCCAGTTCTAGGTTAATATTATTGCGAGGATTGCTTCCATCTTTCAATCGAGTTGCTTTAATCTCCGAAGAGACGCTTTCTCCTGCTTTTCCTTTACCCAACAGTAAGAATCACACAGGGGTACACTTTATACAAACTTATTAATTTCATTTTTCTTTAAATTGTATAAGAATATTTTTAAAAAAACACTGTTCAACTGGTTGCATGTTAAATCACGGGAGTTCAGTGGAAAATCAACGAAGCCTCACCCATGTAGCGTGATAGGAAAGACATCACGAACTAACATTCCCATCCTATTGAGAATGGTATCTTCCCAATCCGATTATAGCATAGTACCGATTTCAATTTCCCACATCAATTCACCGACAAAATTTCACTTTTTGTTCATAAGGAGGTTTTTGTTTCCGTCCGCTTTCATGACAATCCTGGCGACCGTGTTGTCACCCTCCCGGCGACGGATCGCCCTTAACGCGACTGTTCGCACATTTGAGCTCTTATCTCCGAAAAGAGCTTAATTTGTTAATATTTTATTTCAAACGAAATTTCTTCCATTATTCGTCATCCGATTATGTGTTAGCAGTAATACGGTTAATGCATTGACTGTTGCCGCTCAGTCGTACTATCCGAATCTCGGTATGTTTTCTGTTAAACGGCGCGAGGGCCCCCTAACTCCTCGGTTAGATTTTACTAGTAACTCGATATCGCTCACAGTACGGATATAGTTTTGAATTTTATGAAAATATCTTTCAAATCTAGTCCACAGACTACACAATCAACGGTAAATATCGATGCGTTGTTAAGGATCCGTCACGTATTCTTCTACAGGCAAGTGAAATGTAGAATTTAATTTCTTTCAACAAATCTGCCAAAAAAATAATAAAAAAGAAATTATTTCCCATTGGTGTGAAATATTACTTGAGGCGAAAAAATATTTTTAAAAAGCGTTCAAACGTCATTCCCTACAGATTGCGTTAAGCGTAGATAATAGCAGTATGAATGCATTGTATACCAATATACTAACTGCAGATAAAGAAATTACGTCATTACTGGCGGTATTTATATATTGTAGATATCTAAAATATGATATCCATGATGCGGGGTTCTAAAATTGATATAAATCACATCGTATTGTCCCAACACCAAATCGCATGTTTTACGGGACAAAGTAAAAGCGCCGTCTGTGATCTTTACCGGGGTAAAAGAGGGGGCTCGACAATTTCTTTAACGTGTTGATAAAATTTGATTCATTTATATAAAAGAATATCGTGAAAGTCTATGATTAATGTAAATCACGTACATGACGGCATATACACTTCTGAGTGTACTTAGTGGTTAAACCCCAAGTAGTGTTATGTGAAACAGAGAAAGGTAATCTTCAAAACCAGACTTAAATTAGCTTTTTAAAACTACTTAAAGTGAATATTTCGAAAGCGTTATGTAGAAACCGATGTATTCAAGTATTTTTGTTTATTTGTTTCATACGTGAGATGTAAAGACCGTGTCACGTGTATAATATGAACGTGATAGCATTGGGATCGACGTCGAACGCTAGGCGGTGTAGCGGTGACTTCCCCTTGATCTGCTACAGTCGACGCTCACCGCGTGTTCGAATTGCAAGTAAACAAACAATATTTTGTACGTGCTTTATATACTTCGTCCGGGTCCCATTGTCAAACACGGCGCGGTGCGACGACCACGTAGTTGTGGGGTATACACACAATTGGCAATGGACGATTGAATATAATTGTTTGTAGACGCTAAACTTGTCACTTTCCACTAACAAAACAACTTTAAAGTCCATATTTAGCCAACGTTGATTCCAATTAATCTCGTCTGCACTGTGACGTGGCAATTCTATTCAGACAAGAAAGGTGAATACACCCACTAAGGCGCGGCAACATGATGTCATATTATGAGAACGGAATCGACGGATTTGTGCTACTGGAAGAGATCAAGGGAGGTCAATCCATGAAAGTGCACCTTAAGCTTGTAAAAGGTATTTAATGACTCAGTGGCTGACTTTGCTACTAATTTGCTAATGAATCTTTTTGCTTAGGGATAAATATTCCTATTAATTCTACTAACTGGTAATGCAATTACCGGCATCAACTGAATTGAAAAAAGTATGCTTAATGATAACACAATATTTTATCATGAAACGAGGTTGGAGGTGAAGAAGTGTGGGTTGAATTTCTTCTTGGTGACATTCAGTACAATCGTTTATACGCGGTTTGTTTGAGCGGTATGCGATCCAGACTAAAGCGCCGAAATAGTTGTTATCATCTATAAACTATCAGGCATTGACTGAAATAGGTCTCCAAGGTTGGCTCGCGAATTACATCTTCGCCCGGTGCAATATAATCGCAGCAACTAAATGATTACAATACAAAATTGTCCAATGAATAATTCTGAATATCGTTTACAAAAAGAGTTTATTAAAAACGCTCGTCCCTCCTTATCGTATTTCGATCGAATCTATGAGGCTGGTGTTGACAAAATACAGTAATCTCAAATAGTGAAGTACGATTGCGCAGAACGTCGAAGCATAAACTCACCCCAGAGGCTGTGTTGAAGATAAAGATAAACCAAGCCGCAATATCGCGACTAAACCAAAATTAGTCGTTGTGAATAAAGATACCATGCAACCAAGCTGACATATCATGAAAGGTAATCTGATGTAGACTTGGCATTGCCCGGAAGTGGCTTCTTCACTGCCACGATTAGATAAGAGCAGAGCGTGCCATATCGCGACGTACCATCTCATTTGTATGGTCTCTGTACAAGCATCCTGCCATGTTGTCTGCGCTATTGTCGTCACGATCTTCAGAAAAGTTAATTCGTGAAAAATTTAAACCGAAATATAATCGCACTTTTCCCGACGTATTTTACGTGATTCGCAAACCTTACATCTCACACAATTCCTGTGCTCTGCCAAATAAAATCAAGTAATAAAACAAGCGGCAGTAATTGCTTATTCCTATTGCTGACAATATTTCAATTGCTACTTGATTTGTTTAGCGCCCATAATATACTCCATTGTTCCGCTGAGCGATTGAATTTTGAAAGTGCTTGATTCGTAGCATAATGTCTTCGACGGTCCAACGCTACGCATGTGTTTCAAACAGTACATGTCAACAGCTTCGGGCATATCTTACCGTTTCCAGAAGAACGCATTGGTAGTACTTGTACTTGTGATACAAGCTGAAATATTTCAGAACACATCGATGTATATAGTTATAATTTTGACACTGACGTCTGGAATAAAACGGGTAATTGAGTTTGAACTTGAATAGTGCGAGGAAAACCATTGATATCGCTCCCTAACTCAGCTTTGTTTTAATTTTATTTTTTACATGAAATTCGAACACTCGCTGCCCGACGACCACCACCCTTTGACTAGTTGTATGGTTTTGTTCCACGGCAGTATAATGGTAATTATTAACGTTTAAAAATCACCCACTCCCCACCCAGAACTGTTGGCCGTTCCCTAACCCAGTGTACGGATTTCCTCCACAGCAGTATATTGGTAATTATGAATGTTTAAAAATACATTAACGGTAATTGAATTTTGTTATTCGGGTTTATCGCAAAATACGTGGCCTGGGAGAAGACGGGAAATGTGATGCGTGAAATCCGTTTTGCGGAACGCCTAATTCATAATTAAGAAATTAAAAATTTAAATGAACACTACTAATTTAATAGAAATCATCTTCAGCTCCAATGATCATAGCGAATAATTTATCCTATATTCGTTTGCTTGTTTGCATAGATTTGTTGTGTGTAGCAGTCTTTTATTTGCCGACGACAATTCTCTGTAAATGACAGATATTCACAACTCAGCAGTTGTTAGTTTGTCGGGAGATTGTTGACAAAATTAATTACTAAAAGACGGAATTATGTAAAAGGATAACAGCAACCAATTCTACTCCGTGTGCATATTCTTCGCTTCGGTGCACGTGCTTGTTCACTTGGGACGGCATTTCAATCCCCGTGCGGAAGAATACATAAATGATTATGAAATTAGTATTATTACAATGATTGTTTTCGGGGTACTAGCTTAACAGAATACGTCCGCCATGTAATTAAGTCCATGGGCGGGTTATATGATGAGCCAGTATCAGACAAGGGGAATGCTTCGAGCGATTCATCATAAACAACTGCGTATTCTAGCAAAGCCATAATATCTTCGTTTTCTTTATATATTGTCATTTCAAGAGGAGCTGTGTTCCTGTGCGTATCTGCATTAGGTAAGTAAACCTAGCTCCGATAGGCGTCATAAACCCTTACTAGTTACATGATTACGTGCTGTGCCAAATATCCTCGGTCGTGGTAGTATCCGAATGTTCACATTGTTGTGTTATTCTTATTCAGTATATATCACTGTCCCATTGTTTCCTTTTTCAACACCAGTTTTCAAATATTCAAGCTGTACAAAATACAGTTATTTTGCTGAATACCATTGATATTGTTTATTTGAATATCGCATAGACACCGAGATTATAGTTACTGTAGTTAGCTAAATGACGGTGTACACCGAATATTTGTATTTGCACACACACAAAAAATACTTCTTACAGCAAAAAAGAAAAGAGAAACAGCGAGTATTGTCGAAATACGCATTTTATTCACCGATATTGATTCATTGTTGCGTTTTAATTTATTATTTCTTTACTCCGGTTAGACTAATGTATCAGCTAATAATATTGAGTTTATGAAACGAACACTAGAATTCCCTTGTATGGCAGTTACGATAGTCTACCGGTCTGAACAGATGAGTTGATGGAATTTCAATATGTGCGCCGACATGTTGAATACTTCAGCACCATACATGTCAGGAAATCGTGATGGCGACCGCCAAGCAATGAGTACTCGACACTCTCCCAATGTAAGAATACTGCAGGCACTTGACGGTCCTCATAATATTACTGCACGATTGTTATATCGATAACAGCTAACAAAAGACATCGAGTTTAAACAAATAATACAACGTATTTTTCTAATTCAAGTGCGGGAAAACAAAGATACTTAATACTAAGTGTGTATAATTGGGTGAAAATGACCATAAATAGACATTAACAAAGACATTAAGTAAAGGAAACCCCCCAAACAATACATCTAATTACGTAGGTCGTCGTGGGTCCCTGGAAATTGACAATGTTATTGCTTGATAAAGGGCTAAACGGTTATATGAGGCAGAGGTCGCCGTGTGACTGCATTACAAACTGGACGAAATGCAGCTCGTAAGCCAAGGCAATATACAGCGTCGAACCCCATATGATGTATGTTCTCGTGAAAATAATAACTATGGAGTCAACAAGTTTAAGTTCAATGTTTAGGAAATGTGTCCATATTATATTATAGAGCGCTGAACGTGCGAATTTCTTGTAAAAAAATAATGTATTGTTCTTGTGTTGCATACGACATAAGGAAGTATCGAACACGGCGCGTCGTGACGACAATCGACCTTCAATATTCCTGCCGTATTTCGTATTAAACCAGTTAGCTTTGGACATATAAACACCGTAAATTCATGGCAAAAAACACTGAAAGAAATGAACAAAATATTGAAACTCATGGACTCATATTTAAACTAGCCCACCGACAGTGCCGAACACCTTATTCAATGATTCACACACGAGTGCTGTGTTGTCAGCGTTAGCTTTTCAAACCCACGGAATAACGCTGTAATCAGCGTGATGCATTCTTGTTGAATCTATCTTCACGGTCTCAATTCACAGAACGCCTCTGTATCGACACGGTTACAATAAAATTCACAAACATGGTTTGAATCATGATCACGGCGAATAAGGGGGCACGTGGGTAATCCGCTGTAAAGCTGTAAGGCCGATTTACAAACGAGCTCATACCGAGTCTAAGTGTTACTGCCAATTACTGGTATAAAGTAGAGCGGGAATGAGATTAAGGGCACTGCTAACATCTGTCGACACATTGTTAACTCCGCATACCATGTCTTATCAAAACACAGATGTAAATACAACTACAACTGACTGGTAGCAACATCGCACTCATGTTAACACCGTTGTTAATAACGACAGATGTACCATAATAGCGACGTTCATTTGGCTAACGTCAACATAGAATGTGGCATTGTTGCAGAAAACTGTCAAAAGACAAAAAGCAAAGGCGAAAATTCAGATTCTATGTGGGTCATTTCGAATATTTAGTTTTTGCATTCTCTTTAAAAACGACATATTATTTCAAGTTATCGTTATGTTTACATTATAAAATTGTGCACCATTTAATTATCACAGTGAGTGACTGTGAATGACTTTTTCAGATTCTTTTGGTTCTTTGATTAGGAAATCGCCGGGCAGAATGGAAAAATTAAATTTCATATTTAATGTAAGAATAATGTTGAACGTTGTATTTCTCGTGAATGTAAGGTGGTCTGCTCTCAGTGTTCATCAACAAAACATGGACGGGGCTCCAGGTGTACTTGAAGAGATTGTTTACCTTATTGGTAATACTAATTACTTTTTTCGATCCAGGTCAATGAACTCAATATCATGATATAAGGTGTCAGTGGATATATTAACGGGTATAATAATTACTGTAATTATGAATCCATGTCCATAATACGCCATAATACTAATCAAATTGTGTTAAATGTGGTTGATGAACTGGTTGAGCTTCGTTATAGCTGTAGTGACCATCCGTCCCCGCCTAGGTGTTGTTAACCAAGTCCGAAACGAACAAAATTGTAGGCATGTGTGTAAAAAAAATATTGTGCACTCAATAACATTGAAATCAGCACCAATTGATGCAGTGTAATCATTATACAACCATGGTACAATACAGTATCGTTGATACAATATGTACCCAATTTGCGACCATGATACACTACAGTAATTTTTTTTACGATTATACAGTACGATACAATTTGGTATCATTATACAGTACGATACAATTTTGTAACATTATACAGTACGATGCAATTTCGTAACATTATACAGTACGATGCGATTTCGTATCATTATACAGTACGATACAATTTCGTAACATTATACAGTACGATACAATTTGGTATCATTATACAGTACGATGCAATTTCGTAACATTATACAGTACGATGCAATTTCGTATCATTATACAGTACGATACAATTTGGTATCATTATACAGTACGATACAATTTGGTATCATTATACAGTATGATACAATTTCGTATCATTATACAGTACGATGCAATTTCGTAACATTATACAGTACGATACAATTTGGTATCATTATACAGTACGATACAATTTCGTAACATACAATACGATACAATTTGGTATCATTATACAGTACGATACAATTTGGTATCATTATACAGTATGATGCAATTTCGTAACATACAGTACGATGCAATTTCGTAACATTATACAGTACGATACAATTTCGTATCATTATACAGTATGATACAATTTAGTATCATTATACAGTACGATACAATTTGGTATCATTATACAGTACGATGCAATTTCGTAACATTATACAGTACGATGCAATTTAGTATCATTATACAGTACGATACAATTTGGTATCATTATACAGTAGGATACAATTTGGTATCATTATACAGTACGATACAATTTGGTATCCTTATACAGTACGATACAATTTGGTATCATTATACAGTACGATGCAATTTCGTAACATTATACAGTACGATGCAATTTCGTAGCATTATACAGTACGATACAATTTCGTATCATTATACAGTACGATGCAATTTAGTATCATTATACAGTACGATGCAATTTAGTATCATTATACAGTACGATACAATTTCGTATCATTATACAGTACGATACAATTTCGTATCATTATACAGTACGATACAATTTTGTATCATTATACAGTACGATACAATTTGGTATCATTATACAGTACGATGCAATTTTGTAACATTATACAGTACGATGCAATTTCGTAACATTATACAGTACGATGCAATTTAGTATCATTATACAGTATGATACAATTTGGTATCATTATACAGTACGATACAATTTGGTATCATTATACAGTACGATACAATTTGGTATCATTATACAGTACGATACAATTTGGTATCATTATACAGTACGATACAATTTCGTAACATTATACAGTACGATGCAATTTCGTAACATTATACAGTACGATACAATTTCGTAACATTATAAAGTACGATGCAATTTCGTAACATTATACAGTACGAAACAATTTGGTATCATTATACAGTACGATACAATTTGGTATTATTATACAGTACGATACAATTTAGTATCATTATAAAGTACGATACAATTTCGTATCATTATAAAGTACGATACAATTTCGTATCATTATAAAGTACGATACAATTTCGTATCATTATACAGTACGATACAATTTAGTATCATTATAAAGTACGATACAATTTCGTATCATTATAAAGTACGATACAATTTCGTATCATTATAAAGTACGATACAATTTAGTATCATTATAAAGTACGATACAATTTCGTATCATTATAAAGTACGATACAATCTCGTATCATTATAAAGTACGATACAATTTCGTATCATTATAAAGTACGATACAATTTCGTATCATTATACAGTACGATACAATTTCGTATCATTATAAAGCACGGTACAATTTCGTATCATTATAAAGTACGATACGATTTCGTATCATTATACAGTACGATACAATTTCGTATCATTATAAAGCACGGTACAATTTCGTATCATTATAAAGTACGATACAATTTCGTATCATTATAAAGTACGATACAATTTCGTATTATTATAAAGCACGATATAATTTGGTACCATAAATTTGTGACCACAATAGATTATGCTACAGCTTGTCTCCGTGATAAACTACGGTACAATTTGTAACCAGGAGACATTACGATGCAATTTGAATTCATTATGATACTTTGTAACCGTTGCACAAATTGTAACCAGTTTGCGACCATGGTATATTACGGCGCAATTTGTAACCGCGATACGATACATAATAAAAAGTTGCAATGAAAAATCAGCATGTAGATATTGAATAGGTAGTACACTCTAACGCAACATACTACCGCCGTTTGTTTCAAAATTCACGTGGGCAGTACCTGTGAACAATTCTTGTCATTAACAATTTATTCAAATATACAGAAAGTCAATGTCAATAAAGTGCTGCAAAATTGAGGAGTCCAATGTGCGAAAAAAAATGTATTGTCATACTGTAACATTACATGTGTATTGCGCCGTGATTATTCATCATACCTTAAAGGGGCACCTTCCAGTTAAGATTAATTTCACAACAAATTTACTTTCTGGATTAAAATAACAATGGATAACAAAAGATAGATTAACATTGTAAACAACATAAACAATAGTGTCCATGATTCTTTGGTGCAATCCATGGGATTGAGCGGTTCCCCTTTAATTAAAAAACACACTAAATACTCAAATATCGTTTTACGTTTTTCGTCCAGATATTATACTTTCGCTGTCGTCTTGGTAACAGATGGACGCATATGGTGTTGCATTGTGGGATATGCTAATTCAGAATTCAGAAGTAGAGCTGTCAACTTAATCTTATTGGTGGAGATAGTAGCGGTTGCTGATTAGAAAGAGGCTGTCCAAACTTCAACTTCAATCGACGCACTGCCACGCACAAGGCCGGATACTCTATACGCGACCCAAACCCGTCCGTCGCCAACATGTTCTGTTATCATTGTCCGATTCCCGCTGCTAGCTACCCGTATTTTGAGCAACGAGTGCCGACAGGGAATAATGCTCCTCTACCTTCTGTCGTGCCGCCTATATGTAAGTACTGCTTATTTGTGCTTGTGCTATATATGTGTGGTAACGTCGGTAAACTTGTGAGCCTGCTAGTTCTACTGACACGCATTTCAGCGGAAAATTTGATTTCCGGAATAGAGTTAGTTCGGCAAATCTGCGGAAATAATCTTCTTTATAACATATCATTAAGGTGCTCTAGCCTAAATTATCTCGAATTCGCCCTTGATTGAAGACATTGCAGAAAGGTTATGCGTTTTATATAAAATACGATTCATAGTGATTTACCAGGTGAAGTAAATATCGGCGGCCTTAAATTATTACTTTTGGCTACGTTTACTGTACCAACCGATCGGCGAATTCTCGTAATTTGAGCAATAAGTGACTATAGCATATAGTAGTGCTTTGTCACTTCTAAGGCTTCAAGTTAATTCCGGCATCCTTTGGGTATAACGTCGCAGTGCCGATTTACTGACATTGAGAATGTAAGCCTGTGTTGTGCACTTTACAGATGGGGAGTGCCCCTCAGTAGGAAAGCATGGCGATTCACGATAGGAGAGCAATATAATATAATTATTATTATTTTTATTATTATGTCATTATCGTATTTATTATTTGCACGTATGTGAAAATATGAAACATAATATTGTTAGTTAAGTTCTCGCCGCTCACAGGAAAATAAACTTGAATGGCTTCCTTCCCGTTGCAATCTATCCTTTGATTAGATATTTTTCAGGGTGTCGAATGAACTGCTGAAGTGCTGTGTTATTATATTTTAATTCAACCTTTGGAATAACCAAATTTAGAAATAATACGTCGCCATAATGAATTTGCCAATAGAGGTTGAGAACTGTCTCGATATACACATATATCCCTACAGCGCGACAGAGGGATTATTTTCTACAATAGTAGAAGTACATTCTCCAAAATTGTTTAAAATGCTATTTTCTGACTACTCACACAAATATTCGATATTTGTGGTTCGTTAACGTACGACGTAAAGAAAATCAAGTCTGCTCAGTTGGTTCACAGGATGTAATGAAAACATGTACACCCGCTTTTTACGATGTTGGTTGATAATTCTAAAGCTCATCCTCTCGGTGCACAATAACGGTAAAGTCCACCCCCTCTGTTAACCCTATAACAGGTAGGTCCGTCCGTTATGTGGGCCCGATAACGCTAATACTCCCTCTGTTAACCCGATAACGGGGAGGTCCATCCGTTCTGTGAACGCGATGTCAGAAAGGTTCGTCCGCTACTACGGGAAGATTGTTCACACTCCTGGCTATTGACAGCCGGGCTAGCAGCGATCGGGCATGTTTTCTAAAAAGCATTTTGATTACTAGTTTGGTAGTCTGTTCATGATATCACTTTAGAAATACTGCATAAAATACCTGTAATCACATGATATTCTAAACAACTGAAACTGTGTTTATCAACGATCACGATCACCAGTATATAACGGTAATCCTAGGCTAGGACACATAATGTCTGACTACTAGCATTTTTCATTATTATTCCGTGCTTATCAATCGCACTGCTTATTTACATAATATAAAACGCTGGACAATTTGGCGGTCGAATGTGTATAAATCACAACAAGAGGGCGCTACTCAGCGGTGCTCATAATTTGTTTCCCCACACCACATACATCATGTTATTATTACACATTGTAATGAACCTTGCATTTGTACTTGTCACTGTATTGAACTCACGTGTATGCTTGGGTTAATGACAATGACATGTTTATGTCAGTCATCAAGCATGTATGTTTGTCAAAATCTAAAAACTGTTAATTCGGGTTGTCATTCTGCGGTCTCATGCGGTCATCGATTTATTCTCATTAGAAGTTATCGTCAGCTATTCAATGTTATGGGAGACATACTGGTCATCTATTCAATGATATAGGATACATCCGGGTTTCCATTAAATGATATGGGGAGACATCGGGTAGGGTACATCCATCATGCTTGTTGGACATAGTCATCAATTCAATTGTATGGGATTCATCCTGGTCACACATTCATCAAGTTTCTATGGGGAGATATCATGTGGGCAATGGTGATTACATAGCACCGTAGACTGTACTTAATATGTAATTAAAAAGTTATTGTTGCACTGAATGTCATAAAAAGTCGACGACCTGACAATGTGTAGCTACAATTAATTGAATTAATCACATCTAACCATCCTTTGATCACTTTTATTGAATTTTAAACTGTACACACAGAATAGAAATGATTAAAAAAGCCCGCGAAGTTAGACAAGTGGGTAATTTCGAACTAGGGTCATTGAGTATTATTTTTCCATGATCACGAGTAATAATAACATTGGTTGGATCCTAATTGCGGATTAGATTTTTAGTCTGATAAGACGATGTACAGGGAGTCGGTTGTCGGTGCATTTGATCGTCTCATTCTCACACCCTGTCAATAAATGAACTTATCTTTTTAGAACGACAAATTGAATTAATAACTCTTCATTTCCTTCGAGGGATTCAATTATTTTTCCGCGTGTGCGTTCGAAAACAACCACGGTTCACGTAAAAGGAAAGGAAATCGACGGTTATCATGTAATGTCGAAAAGAACATTTTCTGAATTTTATAGTGCATTTTGAATTGGGGAGAATTGTGGAAGATCGAGTATACTAAGTAAAACGTATTGCTGTTTGAAGTGTATAATTTCAGCAAATGGGCACGCGCAAGTTCATATTTTCTTTGTTTCCGGGATGGAGGAATGGGGTGGTAGAAGAGAAAATAAGTTGTTGGTCGGGAACACGGTCTTATTTCGCGCGCCATGTCTCTATATGGCGTATCGCACTGGCAGAGAAATATAGATACTCAGCTATCAATTATTGGAAAATAAAAACAAAAAGCGTAATTGAAAATTCCACTTCTCCGTATTCTCCCCCCCCCCCACAAAAATTAACTGGGTGACAAGTCGCTATGATTGTTTGACCAAGAACGCGTCAATATACGTAACAATACTAAACTCAATTAAATGAGTTTTCGGCATGGATCTGAGATGTATCTTATGTAGGCTGTTAATTACATTGCATACCTTGCCTAGTTATACTAATAGTATTTGTTGTCTATTTCTTTTTCCAGTTTCGACATCATCTTACGCAAACCACCATGAATTTGATGACACTTTCTTGCGTAGGAAACAGCGCAGAAACAGGACCACGTTTACAGCCCAGCAGGTAAATAAATTTGTTTTATGTCGCAGTGAAACACACTGAAAATTTGTCAGTGTATGGTGCGTGACATATTGCCGTTCCGTGTATAACACTGAATACATAATACCATCGGCATGTAAACCCGGCATGCCACTCGGCAGTGCAGAGAAGCTCCTACGTGGTATCACGTGATATATGGGGGTCTGACCATTTCTTTGTTACATACGCACTCACAGTATGATTCAGTAATCGTCCTTGGTCACGTCACTATTATGACAGGTAATCAAAACTACTCACTTAAAAATAATGGAGATGTGTGCTAGAAAATTCCGTAATTATAAGACCGTTGTTCTTTGGCGTCGGTATGTATGCCGCGTGCCGCTTCGTAAGCCCAACTCAAATACAAAAACAATCTCTGCTTTTATATATGAACCATAATGCGAGGCTTTCTTGTCATCGAATTAAGAATGGTTCGGGTAATCCTTTCATCGCTAGTTGTAAACTTATTTGCAGTTGAAATTGATATTGATGATTTCTACTTTATTTTTTCAAATGATTTACCACTTTTGTAGGAGAATATTTCATCCTTGAAATATTGCAATCAACTTTAGTACGTCTGTTTCTGAATTACAGCTCAGCGCTGAGTTTTAAAAAATATCAATTAAAATCCACCTCACTGGAAATTTACTTCTGGCAATTTAAACTTTAACTTTTGCACTTTTGTTTTCTGATAAAATTGGTATTTTATGGTTAAACAAATTGGACATCTGCTGTTGTCCGTCACGTGACCAGTTCGCGGGAAAAGATGATTCCCATCACCCTACTCTAGCGGCGTCATTAAAACGAACGAGGTGATAACAGAAAACTGGATACATGCCAGATCAAGTTTGATGCCCGCCTCGAACCTTACAATTCTGGCAAAGTTTATGAGTTGTCGGGCACTAAATCAGAGAGGGTACATTTTATTATTCATTAAAAGTGGATTTGGAGTCGAAAAAAAATGTAAAATGCATAAGGTTAATACAACAACTTGTCAAAATAGCGAGGTGACGAATGTAATTTCTGACACGATCAAACGAGTAATCCCCTACCTACATCGCAGTAACTCATCACCCGATATTATTATTTATGATATCACTGCAATGTTTCGTCGTAACTTTTGTATCCCCCAAGGTTTATTACTAGATAATACCAACAGGGAGGGTGAATCCTATCCATGGAGGCGTGAAAACGTTGTTTTAGCACACTTTTAGCGAATATATATACTATCTACTGATGGGGGTTAATGTTGTCTTGTCCTTATTATTTTAATCTGTGTGGGTCCATAAAATGCTGCAAATGATGTTAGTGGGAAGATTTATTGCTGTCACGAGAGATGAGATTGCAAGATCAGACCCGATTGTTTTTATGGATTATGTATATTCCATTGTGAAACATATTCGATATCAGAGGCGATTGCGCTGCAAGTATACGATGCTTTTAGTGAATATTGGCGACAAGCATATGTGTCTGCACAATTGTGAATATTTAACTGTGACTTGTGATAAAGAACTTGAACTAAAATCAACTCAATTAGAATTTGTAGAGTTGAAAACACGGGAAGCGTATCAAATTTTCAACTTGATTTTCAAGTTTTGATTTAGTCATCTACAATTGCGCACGAGTAGAACTATCGATTACATGGCAACCATAATAGTAGGGGTAGCCATGCTCTCTGTCAAGCTCACATGCCAGTGTGTCGTGTTCGTGTTTTCTGAACAGTTATTTATGTAACTTGTGACTATGAGATACTATGGGTTATTGTTTATATGGTCATAATATGGTACGTTTATTAATATAATTTGTGACTACGAATTATCTTTGATTTATTGTGTTCATGGCTCCGGCATGGTATAGATATGTAAAAAACATACCACACCCAATGTCATGCTTGCATCCGAGTTCTGCGCCAATAATGATGTCATAATAATCTCAAGACTGGTATACTTATGCTCATCATTCATATGTTACTTTCTAGCTCTCGTGTTCATGAATTAATTTACTTTATTTTTTGATAGCTGGAAGAATTAGAATCGGCATTTGGCAGGACACATTACCCGGATGTATTCACGCGAGAAGACCTCGCAGTCAAAATCAACCTAACAGAGGCACGTGTACAGGTGGGTGATACGTTATTGCCATAACAGCGGGTAAAACAAACTATCAATGTGCCACCAATTGAATATATGGCATGCGGCTTTAATGTCATAATTGTTGTCTGAATACGTCACATAATCTTCAGCCTCGTTCGAATCCAAGTTGTGGCAGTTGTGGCGTGGCAGGTAAATGTTCGATTTGAAACATTGACAAATCCTGAAAATGTTTCATTCGCTCTGGACGTCTGTTATTGTGCATGAGACGATGGCCTAGTGCACCAACGTCCAACGAGTCAATTTGATGAACTAATCAGACAGAATATCGCGAGCGCCAGAAATCCACTAAAAATTTTTCAATGAATGGAATATTCGATAGTTTGTACCATGTGAATACGTTTTGGAAATATGTAATAATAAAAAGTCATGATAAGAATAATTATTCCAAATAAAATTATACATTTTTTCTGGGTTATTTTATAATGCCAACAAATCAGCCGAAGACGTATTTCTCTAAAAACAATTGAGTCTAACATTTAATTTAATTAGTTTCCTATTTTACGATTACGTCCCCAGTAGAAACATTTATTAGTATTTTAATAAATGAACAACCACCGAAGAACCGAAATAAGCCTTTCAGCATTAACATTGTCGAAAAAAAAAAAACATTTCACCATTTAGAATTTAAAACCCCAGTGATAAATTTTACGTAAACCATATATTTAATTTTTCAACACGAATGGCTACGAACGAGAATGAACAAAATGATACATTTGACGAACATGTCACAGGAGAACATCTACCCGCCAAGCCAAGATACAATCAATATTTGGAAAACCATTGTAGAACTAGTTTGGAACGAGGCTGAACAAAATGGTACATCTGATGATGTACCAAGCACGTGACAGTGAAACCCGCAAAGCGTATATTGAAAGATGCATTAGAGTTGAGATGGTCAAATCCAGAGGGAACACACGACACAGGTGTACCTAATTGCTGAAATAATTGAGTTCAAATAATCATATAAACATGTTATCCGATTAGGAGCAACGTTTCACTCAATTACCTTGTATTTGCAAATACTGTTCGTTACGTTACACTAAGATAATTTAACGCCATTCGGATCGGCCGTCGGAGACTGTCATCGAGGCGATTACGTCTTCTTGGAACATGTCTAGCTTTATTTGTTCAGACAGAAATAATTGTCCAGTGTTCTTTATAGTCGTTTTAATATCTAAGAAAATAAACTCATTATACCAAGCGACATCATAACGCGGTATTGAGTGTTTTTCTAGTGTTACACAGATCTACTGATTTCTCATTATTGAAGAAAGAAACTCATCTGAAACAGAAAAATACTCAGAATTGATATTTCGGCCCATGGTTCGTCAATACTTTTGTCAAAATCAGTGATAATGTTGATACACTGAGTCCAGCTTTAAATTATTATATAATATATTATTCCGTTCTTATCTGATTCAAACACACACAAGCGCAGTACTTGAATTGCATTATTATTAGAGTAGAACAAACACCCTATGCCTGTACCATATAAACCGAATGAAAGAAATGTCAGCAATACGATAAAGTCAGTCCAGCCTTAATCTCGATGCTGTTGATTTAAAACAATGACTGGCGAAGCTTACAATTGTTAAAATATCCGGATGTCAATTTGACTACATTTAAGTTATCGTCTCGTGTTGCTCCTGTTTTTCAAACAATTACGTGTAGTTTGATTCAAACAATACCACTCAACTTAATGATTTACTGAACCTTTTCTTGTTAGGGGAAAACAGACATCACGATCCGACGATTATTGTGGCCGCCTGACGGTCGCTAACGTACGCAAATGATACATGGTCTAACAGTCATAAATTGCAAAACCAATTTTAACATGAGCAAACGAAGCCAACTTGGGACGAGAACGAAATCGAGTAAGCCGCCAGACAGATACAACAAATTATTCTGCCTAAACCCAATGGGCATGTTCTTAAACATTGTCTCTCTGTGTTTACAGTCGTTATTGAATCTTGTTGACCTCTCGAATTTAATAAAACATTTACAGCTTAAATTTACCAGTCTATTCGCCTGTAAAATATAAACACAACTATCGGGGTTAAATTGTATTAAAAAGAGTGTTCTCTTTTTTATAAGGTCAGATTTGAATGTCGTTATTGCAATTATCATTAAATTTGTCTGGCTACATGACGGTACCTAGGGCACCACCAGTCATTACATACAAACTAAAATGTGGTTTTAAATCCTAACTCATTTAGGCCCACTGTCTCATAAATAAATGTCTGAGCGAATTCTGCAGTGGTACAATTATAATGTGTGGTGGTGCAGTATTTAAAAGTAATAAAGCGGTAATGAAATTATGTGCCTGTGGTCTCATACTCGAACTCCCAGATTGAACTGTGCATCAAAAATAATGACATAGAGAGCATATAAACTATAAGAAGAACAGGAACAGATGAAACAGACTTCAATGATCAAAACATTCTATTGACCTACTACGTTTAATTTGAAATTATAGGTTTGGTTCCAAAATAGGCGAGCGAAATGGCGAAAAACCGAGAAGGGCCGCCCAGACGAAACACGTGATAGCGAAAACGATAGACCGATTTCTGTGGACGAGGACAGTGACACTACAAACGTCCAAGAGCAAACGAACTTTGAAATTGCAACTGACAACCCTGTATGTAAAGAAGACGATCACCTAGACGAACAACTAGCAAGTGTTTCCCCCACCCTAAAATCAGCTCCATTACTATGGAAACCAGGAAGAGTATCATCTCCAGTCGGGTCATGTGATTTCCCCGTGGAAGACAATGACAAATATTGTAAAGCGGACTCAAGGTATGTTTCAATATACAGTGGCCCCTCGCTAAGTCGCGGGTGTCGGGATCCAAGCAAAAACCGCGACTTATCGAGGGCCGCGACTTACCGAGGGACCTCGTGAAAGAGGGAGATCGTGCATTGAAAAACATATAAAAAGCGAGTTTTATAGAGGTATACCAAAATGGGACCGGCCGAGAAGCACGTATGATCACTACTCGACACCCCTGTTGACACCTTGAGTAAGGCCGCCGTCACCCATTGAATCTAAGCAATTGACGGACAGTAGGTGTTAAGTTGCCTTTTTAACGGTTAGTTAAAAACACTATGCAACAAAACATTAGTCTTTGTACTTCAAAACACAATAGAAATTTTGGGAGCCATCAAAGTACCCGCAACTTAGCCGAATCGCGACTTACCGAGGCGCGACTTAGCGAGGGGTCACTGTATTATGTGATGTCTAAAATAATATAATCAATTAATAAAAATAAGTACTGAATATTATTCAGTAATATATTTATTAAGACTCCACATTGATCATTTAGCACAGCACAAAATCTATGATGTTGAAATAAATTGATGAAAATAATGCGAAATGTAAAACAAAAACATCCCATGAATTTCCAAGGAAAACCACGTGAATTGACTATAAATTGCTAAGTAGAATCAGTCGATATTTTTGTTCAAAACTACGATCTACTAGTATTCTATCTATAGCCGTTCTTACACATTTGTACATAGTAAGATTAATCTTATAAGACTAGTCTAATCTAATCACCTCTTCGATGAGATAATTCAGGTTGTACAGACTGTTCAATGGCGCCGTTAGATTAATCTGATAAGCATCAACGCGTCAAATGTTTCAAAAAAGACGTCAGATATTTTTGTTCGCATGCTCTATTCTTGTCTGACTGACTTACAAGATTAATCTGACTGTGAGAACATGAAATAAATATAGGATACATTGCATGACGTCACAAGCATATACCTTATACATGTGTAACTATTATTTGTAGATCTAGTACACCGACCGAGCAGAGCGACAATGATGCATGTGAAGGTAGATTGGCAGAAAGAGATATCACTCCCGGTGACGTAATGAAATCTACCAGTGATGATACTCTACGAAGAGATACTTACAACAATAAATGCACGTCGCCTGTGGTGAAAGTATCGTCGTTAGGTAAGATGATATGATATGATATGATATGATATGATATGATATGATATGATATGATATGATATGATATGATATGATATGATATGATATGATATGATATGATATGATATATGAAGATATATGATGATATATGATGATGAGATCAGGTGAGATTATATATGTGAGATGAGATGTGATCGAGATGTGATAAGACTTGGTTGGAATGAGATAAGATGACATTCTACATCGATGTGTCTACATAAAGTTTATTGATTTATGAAATACAATACTAAATTGCCACTTTCCTATTCTGTTGCAGGGACGGCAGCCATTAACTCGCCACAACTACAAGCAGAGTGTCAATCAAAATTTCTTTCGCTATACTCGCCTTATCACGTGCCAGTTCAGCACAAAACATCAAGCGTCGCTGAACTTCGCCAGAAAGCCAAGGATTACACAAATGCTCTGATGGGTGCTATGTTATATAATCGCAATGGGTTCTCCCCGCGGTAACAAACATTACGTCATCTTTACACTGCTAGCATAGTGACATGTCAGGAGTTTCTTTTAATCTTTTTCTTATACATGGATGAAAAATCACGTGTGGTCATACCTAACTTATGGCGCTTATGATATCACCGTCTTTATGTCATCTCTCTTCGCACAACCTAATTCAGTACTTACTGCAATACGAGAAGCAGTAACACTTTTATTCAAATTTGTTGTCGTATATTTGTTTTCTGATTTCATATCAAACTCGGATGTTGCGTCGCTTATGCTTACGCCGTCTGGCCGTTTCACGCTTAAAATAAAAGATGTTCGTCTTTGGAACACTGCTGTAAATATTCTATTAAATAACTTTCAGCAATACAAATCTGGGAGTTTTGTTTTATCTGTGTACACGTTATACGGTTAGATTTTCAGGTCAAGAGGACAAAGGTCACTTATACGTGCATACGTATGCACATTCCTAATATACTAGTAACGCCAAGGCAAAACTAGGTATCACCTTAAAACGTTGCTATTATGTTCCCCATGTGACCCGAAAGATATGGTTTGATTCTAACGGCAGGTCAAAGGTCAATCTCACAGTATGTGTGGGTTTTTTTTTTCGCAATAGAACTTCAAAGCAAAATATCACCTTCAAACTATAGACACATGTTTCCCGCAAGATATGGGTTGATTGTAAGGATAAACGTCAAACTAATAAGGTTACTAAACACTTTTCCTGCCGTAACTACGCAACCATTAATCTTAAATCATGGCTGTGATAGTTGACACTTAAGAAATCTGGCACAGGTTCGTAGTTCCTCCGAGTCGTTCACATGTAGCAAAATAGTTGCTTTGGACTTAATTTAGGTGTTCGGGTGGGGGTCAGTGAACAAAATACTATATAGACGTAAGTCGCTGGTCAAAATATATGTCATGTGATTAGAAGGTCCACGTTTCCAGGGAAGTGTACTAGTTTCCTCAGATGCCCCCTCGCGTAACGAACATTTCTATATATGATCTGGTGTACAGGTTTCACTCCTCTGATTCCTCGTCACTTCAAACGTAATATATTCCTCCACAAATTCAGGAGATTAACATCCTGAATAGTATTCACGGGGTAGTGAGTGTGTTGAGTACTGACATTGAAGGGAGGTCGTAGCGGGTACACACTCTGCCCTGTGCTGTGTCGAGGGGAAACGGCATCCTGAATAGTATTCACGGGGTAGTGAGTGTGTTGAGTACTGACATTGAAGGGAGGTCGTAGCGGGTACACACTCTGCCCTGTGCTGTGTCGAGGGGAAACGGCATCCTGAATAGTATTCACGGGGTAGTGAGTGTGTTGAGTACTGACATTGAAGGGAGGTCGTAGCGGGTACACACTCTGCCCTGTGCTGTGTCGAGGGGAAACGGCATCCTGAATAGTATTCACGGGGTAGTGAGTGTGTTGAGTACTGACATTGAAGGGAGGTCGTAGCGGGTACACACTCTGCCCTGTGCTGTGTCGAGGGGAAACGTAATCGAGCATTCATGGACTTTAAGGTAGAAGCTTACTCATAATTTTTGAGAAAAAAATTAATCATAAGTAGCAAGACTATCTTCATTGGTTTATTATGTAAAATCACGAAGCTGTTGTCCCATGACACAAGAAAATAACATTGTTTGTGTGTGTTACAGTGACGTTTAAAAAAACTCGCTATTTTAGGAAAAAAATGCAATTCAGGACAACAAAAAGAATCCAATAATTATCAATATATGATTTTTTCAGCCAATGTCACCAGCCTACAATTTAAGATATAATGTCCCTACCATAGAAACATATGGTTAAATCGCTATACTGTAGTACTACCAAAATGGCAACTATCCACTAAAATACAACAATCGTTATACTGTAGTACTACCAAAATGGCAACTATCCACTAAAATACAACAATCGTTATACTGTAGTACTACCAAAATGGCAACTATCCACAAAAATACAACAATCGTTTTCTCGAAAATTAGACTAGTGACCCCCAACTTTTTCAAAGTCAATATTCTTATATTGCCCTGGAGTGCAGTTTTTTGGCAAAATGAATAAATAACTGAAGGAGGCTTCTACTTTGACTCTATTTTACTCCCTATAAAATGTAACGGTACATAGAAACGTATGTGTCAATTAATATGGAAGCACAGTGGTGGATACAAGTTTTTATATGTCATATGTTAATAGCTTTCAATTCTCCGTCCCATCACCACTTACTAGACTACTATCCAATCAAATATATACCCACAGTACTATGAATATATCTTGGTGATCAAGAATAACATATTGCCACTCAAAAACTATCAAGAAGCCGGGAGATTCACATAAATGAATGGCAAGTATAGAAAAAAATATGTTTCGTAACATATGAAAACGATGGCCATTAACATCAAGAAGCGCCATTCAGAATGTGCATGACCTGCAATATAACTACATGGTGTCTGATTTGTCACGCGCCATTGCTTTCCAAACAGTACGAAATAGAGCCATCATTTATTATGCATGACGTAGCCAATCATCGATATCTCACTTCATTAATTATTCATACCACGTGATACCGCCCGCCATTAATAATTTACGGTCATTCGGTGAATCTCGTGAAATGATTGGAAGCAGGCCCTGCCAGTAGAAACGCAACAATCATCTGTGATTGACTTCGATTTCAAACAAAAATCGTTAAATATATTCAAAATAGATGGTCAACGTTAAAACGATAGGACGGTGAATGTACACAATGTAGATGTAATAAGAGGTTGGTCATTATAAACTTTGAGAAAACAAATCATCACAGAGAAATATCAAGAAAAAATATACACGTCTGGAATATGAGAGAAAAATAATTCTAAAATTACAAAACACGATCAAAACTAAGTGAATGGAACAAATATTTTCCACCCATATAGTTCCTATTGATCCACCCTAACGTTTCCCGATCTGTATTTTTCAAACACAAAATTATGCACATATCCACACCTTTCCCATCAACTGTTTTGCCACGCGCCCTCAGCTCTCTCCGCTGAATGTCCTAACTCAGGAAGACCTTGGGCTTCAATCGTACAAATTATACTGAGATCGATATCGTATTACTCGCTAATGTCACCAATAACACAGAGAAATGTAACAACAATTGTCGAGATGGTTTAAAAATCAGTACCGCCAGAATAATGTGCTAAGGGCTAAGGAAAATTGATAACTCGGTTCTTTATATGAGATTTAATGATGATCACCATTATCATGGAACATTTTCCCGTCCCACGTGTCTGAAATACTTTGCAATCCGTAGCGCACGACCGTCACCTTTTGTTTGGTTTCAAGAGAGCTTGTCTTCTATACGCGGCTTCATTCTAGTGTCCTCGGCGGATCAGATTTTCGCTAATCCGTAATTTTCGCTCATCAATTTTTCACGAGGCTATGATCCTATCCTGGTAGATAATTGCATTAGACTCAAATTGCTGTTGAATAAATTCAATTAAATTATCGTATTTTCGATGAAAAGCGGAGCAGTATTAAACGGATGGCTGGAGGGCTTTGCTCCTGTGTGTTGAATAGTTCAGTTAGTGGGAGGACCTCTGTTATTGTGTTGATATAATAGGGCGCCCTCGCACAGTGTCATGGTCCAGAATGTGCCAAGGGTTTTCTTGACGGAAATGGACAAGCCCAGAACATATTCGTCTAGTTCCTGGACCGCGAGACATTCTGTTCGTATCGTGTAGGCACATAATTGCGCCAATCAAGTTCCACCAATTGATACGTTGTATTATCAATATTTAACCACGAGATCGTGGATAGATATGGTTATATTAGAAAGACTGATAAAGTGATTACAAAAGACTAGTCATCAAGTTTGGGGAGCAGGAGTATGGAGAATCCTAGCTGATGACGTCCTCAGAAAAAAAATCACGTGACCCCCCCCCCCCCAATCCGTTATTGGCGTTGCACGTGCCAACTACAAGGTGAGGACCCGGCGTGTTTAATTAAAGCAAGTGTTAGCAACTGTGAAATTCAATTATTCCACTACAAAGGACGGAGCCGTTATCAGACTGGTATTATAACCAAGACCTATTGTTATGAAGTATATAAATAGTCCGCGTGTGGCTCTAAAGATAATCAAATTATCTTGCCTAATACTTGACCGGCACATGCCGTGTATTTATCATGATGGCACAATCCACACAACATACAAGTTGACACATTTGTCATCGGCAAGTGATGACACGTCTGCATCAAACGTCTCCGTGTTACTCGAAAACTGGCAATATTTTAAGGCGATCTTCAAATATTGGGGTGGGGATGTTTCTAGATAGAGAAGACAACCACGTTTTACGTCACTGTTGTACTCTTAAGGTATTATTATACCCTCTTAGAATTAATGACTATTTGCTATTGAGATAATATAAAGACGATTTGTTGAAATAAATGAATGTTATACGTTATCGTACTCATGCTTTCGTCATTATGGGCTTAATGTCATTAGGACATCATTAAAATAATGTGGTCAGCTGATATTTTTTTGAGAAGCAAGAAGCGATTGTATTGTTAAGGAAAATGGCAACAATTTGCATTTTTGTACTGGTTTCTTGTAGTGAAATTATTTCTTTCATATCTTTGAAATTTTGCTCGGCGACATGGGAGGGAAAAATTCATTTATTATTTTTGATATGAATCACATTATTGTTAAAACATCCCCAAAGAAATAATTAATTGTCTGTGGCACACTCACCCGGTGTAGAGTGGCTTTGGCCTCCCCATTTAATCTGTGTTACACTCACCCAGAGTACAGTGGCTTTGGCCTCCCAATTAAGTCTGTGACACACTCATCCAGGGTACAGTGGCCTCGGCTTCCCCGTTGAGTATGTGGCACGCTTACCCAAAGGTACAGTAGTATTGGCTTCCCCATTGAGTCTGTTGTGCACTCACTCCAAGGTACGTACAGTGATTTTGACCTCTCCATTGAGTCTGTGGTACACTCACCCAGTGGCGGATCCAGAGGGGGACATGACGATTTATATCATCTTCATCACGCATAGCTTCTATGCGATTTTCGCTCCGTAATGTTAAGCGAAGCTTGCCCCCCCCCCCCCACCCAAATACATTTTGCTGGATCCGCTACTGCAATCACCCAGAATACAGTGGCTTCGGCTACCCCATTAAGTCTGTGGCACATTCACCCCAAGGTACAGTGGCTTTGGTCTCCCTAGTGAGCCTGTGGTACACTCACACGGAGTACAGTGGCTATGACCTCTCCTTTCAGTCTGTGGCACATTTACCCCAAAGTACAGTGGCTGTAATCTCCACATTGAGTCACGGTCTGTAGTACACTCACCCCAAGGTACAGTGGCGTTGGACTACCCATTGAGTCT